CCGCATGCATTTCTAGAAAGAAAATCACGAGAATCTGAACTACTGAAAGCAAACGACAACTAAAAACGGAAATCTTACTAGTTAAAGGAGAAGAAAGACTGTAAATAACAACAACGAGCAGCGAATCTCAAGAAACGGCGGTGGTCGACATGCGAGTGATTACGAGCAGTTGGGAGAGAGAACGAAAAACACTAAACTCCATACTCCTCTCGTATTTATTCGCGCGTGTGAGACACACATCTGGAAAACCCTAGGGTCGTCATCATTACACCCTAGTCCCTAGGCCATCATTGTGCCGCTTCGCCAACACGCTACCCGAAACATGCTACCTCTCCAAGTTCAAGGCTCCTAACGACCAACTCCTCATCTCCCCGCGAGAAAGGCGCAACGGACGACACTCATTCTCCCCATAAGACGCACCCTGTTCCACGAGCAGGTGTTAAAGTCAGCACTCATCTTCCCAGAAGCAACGACTTGGGGGGATACTGTTCTGGACTGGCCCGGTAGCTAGAATGAGCCCAGTCTAACCCTTTCTTTCAGTACGGTTCATACCTCCATGGCCCGAACCTCCCCCGCTCTCCGTTGGGCAATATCGACCATTTGCCCTCCCAAACCGGCACTGGCCTAAGATGATCGACGAGCACTTCTCAATCTGCCTGACCTCGAGTCGTGAAGACAACCAGGAATCCACCAGACCGCTACCCGTAACTAACCTCCTCCTCGGAATCAACGGCTAGTTACGGGCACATCTTCCCAATTTGACTAAGTCCTGACAGTTACCTATTTTTGCGGACCCACATATCCAGACCCAAAAACATGAACCAATGGCCATGCGCCAAAGGCATTATATAAACCCTCACACTTGTGAGGACCAGGTATCGAATATTCACTATTCACCACTAATACCTTAACACTTTGCTTGTATGTCTTTGCTCCTACTCTTACTTGATCGTCAGAGTGCCTTGCAGGTACAACTCCTTTTTTTTGCCTCAACATCACAGTCCGACTACAGATCATCACCCGGCCACCTTCCATGTTCTGATTAACCGGTAAGATCAAATATAAAGATCAAACCAAATGAAGTATGGAAATACAATCATTTGAAGGATTTGAATAACAAGAAGAAGGTGACATGTGATTTTTGTAATTTAACTAGCAGTGGGGGAATAAGTAGAGCCAAAAGGCATCAATTAGCAATTACCGGTGATGTAGTTTCTTGCACGCAAACACTCGAGGATGTTAAGTCTATATTACGTGCGGACATGGTTGAGAAAGAGAGAATTAAGAAAGGAATACAAGAGGTTTCAGTGCAATTAGATGTGGATGATACCATTGATATTGAGGAAATACGTAGAATTCAAACCAGAAAGAGGATTATTGAGAGTGAGACCTCTTCAATGGTTGTCAAGAGGACTAATGGGTCGTTGGATTTGGTGTATAAGAAGAGTAAGGACACAAGCATCAATGATGCGTGTGATAAAGAAGCAAGGGCAAGAACCATCCAATATATTGGTCGCTTTTTTTATACGTGTGGAATTGCTTTTAACATAGCAAATGCAAGAGCTTTTAAGTTGATGTTGGAAGTCGTTGGAAGTTATGGTCCTCATTTGAAACCGCCAAGTTATCATGAACTCAGGGTTCCAATCCTTCGAAATGAGTTGGAATATACAAAAGGTTTGTTGAAAAACCAAGAGGTGCAAAGGAATAAATATGGATGTTCAATTATGTCGGATGGTTGGACGGATAGAAAAGGTAGAACATTGATTTATTTCTTGGTCAATTGTTTGACGGGGACCATGTTTGTGAAAAGTGTTGATGCTTCTAACTATGCCAAGACGGGGGGAAAGCTAGCCGAGTTGTGGACACTTTTATTGAGGAAATGTGTGAAAAAATGTTGCTCAATTGATTACCGACAATGGAAGTAATTATGTAGCAGCGGGTAAAGAATTGTGTTTGAGGAGGCCTTACATGATTTGGACTCCATGTGCTGCCCATTGTATAGACCTTATGTTAGAAGACATAGGCAAAATTCCAAAGGTTCAAAAGGTTATACAAAAAGGGGTTAAGGTTGTGGGCTACATTTATAATCATACTTTTACTTTGAATCTAATGAGAAAGACTACCGGTAATGTTGAATTGGTTAAACAAGGAGTGACAAGGTTTGCTACCCATTTCCTTTGTCTACAAAGGAAGCAAGAACTAAAAGGAAAGCTTAGAGAGATGTTCCTTTGTGAAGAATGGACGAGTTCCAAGTGTGCCAAAGATGCTAAAGGACAAAGGGTAACTACTATTATACTTACGACATCATTTTGGAATGATATTCTCTACACTCTTAAGTGCATGGCGCCTCTTGTAGATGTGCTAAGAATGGTTGTAATGAAAGGAAACCCGCAATGGGATACATATATGCCGCAATGGGAGTAGCGAAGGAATCAATTGAGAAAGCTTTTAGTTCAAATTCAAGCAAGTACGAAGCCGTATTTGAAATTATTGATAAAAGACGGGAGTGTCAACTTCATCATCCTCTACATTCTGCAGGTGACTATCTCAATCTGAATATTATTATTCTAAACCAGAAATTGAGAATAATGGTAGATTGGTGAGAGGCCTCCGTAAGTGCATTGAGACACTTAATGAAAGTTATGCAGTGGAAGATTTAATTTCAGAACAATTGTCACAGTACAGGTGTGCTACGGGTCTCTTTGGTATAAGAGTGGCAATTAGACAAAGGTCGACATTAGCTCCAGGTAAGATGGAATGATTTTTTGATTTTTTACATATGATGCACTTTGTGTTATGTATGGAAATGGAATGATTTTTTACAATTACTTGCAGCTGAGTGGTGGAAGTCTTATGGAGCCGAAACTCCAGAGTTGCAATTATTGGCTGTCAAAATATTGAGTTTGAGTTGCAGTGCTTCCGGATGTGAGCGTAACTGGAGCATCATTGAGCATGTGAGTATTAATTTTTTATTAGGATATTAAAGTATCTTACATGCAAGTATTATTAAATTAATACTTCAAATTATTGTATTTTAGATTCATTTCAAGAAGAGAAATAAATTGAAACATCAAAGATTGCAAGACTTGGTGTTTATCAAGTATAATCAAATCAAGCTTTGGTAGAGAGGTTTGAAATTCAGAATAAAATTGATCCTATGGTATTTAACGAAATTAATTTCCACACCGAATGGTTGGTGGGAGAGATGGAAAATGTAGGAGATGATGGTGAAGACTTGGTTCATCCAAATCATGATTTAACTTGGAGTCAAGTTGCCGATGCTAGTGGGGCTAATGAGCCTATAATCTACACTAGGAGGACAACAAGGCAACTTTAAGTTGGAAGTACTTCTCAAGCAACAACGGCACCCATAGCAACAATTTCACCAAGAGCAACAATGACACCTAGAGCACCAATGGCACAACAAGTGGTGGAAGATGTTGAAGATGAAGAACTGGAGGAAGATGTTGAAGATGAAGAATTGGAGGAATATGTTGAAGATGAAGAATTGGAAGAATATTTTGATGATGCTACATGATTTCTATGTTTGCTTGAATTTTCATATGATAGTACTAAGTTTGAATTTAAATCTTTATGTTTTGAATCTTGATTAAGCATTGTTCTTTGTTTGACATTAGATTTTATAAATATTTTATGAGTATTGTGAAATTAATTTAGTATTACATGACATATATTTTATAGATTATTATATAATTATTAATATACAAAAAATTATCCCGCTATCCGAGATCCCACTATTCCCACTTTTTCCATTCCCAGGGATCGACCGCTCCGCTCCGCTATCCGAGATTAATAACTGTTGCAAACTTTGGAAATATGTGGAAGGTAAAATGTTAAAATCGATGAAGATGTACATGGTAAGGACCTGGAGCATACTGAGATACAAACTTCATTTAAGAAAAACGTCATTCTAAAAGAAATACAACTTTAATAAAAAGGTGTTATATTTCCAATATTTTGAAAACATTTATAGAAACACAAATAAACCTTAATGTGGTTGCTTAATACAGACCATGTTACAGGTTTAATTTAGATTATGCAATCTGAATTATTTTGATAGTTCAGATTGTTGAATTTAAAACACACCAGTAACAAAATAATGACTTTTGTTTATTCAAAGAACACGTGTTCATGTACCACATGCCATATTTAAAATGGTACATATGAAAGAACAATTTTTTCAATTCTCTTTTTCTTAAACAACTTCAATATGTCCAATAAAAACATATTTTCCATTATGAGGTGCTCAAAAAAAAAAGTGGCTGACTTATTTACCTTGGATATGTGTGTAACACATTTCATGCATTTAAATTTGTTTCAATTTTTAATTTATATTATGTGTTCTTGGGGCCTGTTTCTAACCGTCCTAACCTATACAGATTGAAGATCTCAATATCAGAAGTCTATTATACAAAGGTTGAAAGTACATCAATTATTCAATTAATCAAAAGTTAAAATTTGTTTAGTAAGATTAAGATTTAACCATTTCCTTTATCAGTTTAGTCAACAAAGTGTGGGCATCAAACATTGAATTTGCTATTTGGGTCCAGCTTGGGTATACAAAAAATTCAGGTGATTTTAGGTGCATCGCTGGAATATGAAAAAGACTTTTAAAAAATTGAAGTACACTCAAACAGAAGCAGTTTTTTTTACAAGCTCAAGCAGAAGCAGTTATTTTAAAATCTCCTACATATTGCAATACTTTTTAATATTTCATTTTTAAGAAGTGATTCTGGAGATGCATATCCTCAACCAGAAGTTGTTATTTACTTGCTTTGCCAGGCACACACTGCTAGATTACTATATTGATTAGAAGTCAAATTTTCTTTCATTTTAAGCAATAAGCATTATAAAAGCTTTAATTCCGGATTTTTTTAAAAGCTTTTTCACATGTTAAATGTAATTCGTAAATGAATTTAGATAGCTATGGCTATAGAGGTGTATCAGTTTAAAATATATATGTTGATACTTAATGGTATTTAATTATTGCAGTTTTCACCTTGAAGAGATTTCTCAAAGTCTTCCAGTTGCCGAATGAAACCACGATTAGGAGCTGCTTTTGGTCTTTTGTTCTTAACATGTTGCAGAGCTTCAGATAAGCCCATTCCACGAGATTTCATCAGATATGCTACAATGATAGTCACACTGGAAGGTGGAAATAATTTAGAACCAATATGAACAATACAAATATCAAGATTCTTTCTTTTAACTTCCAATATGAACATTAAGAAAGGAAAATGCAGCATGAACTTTGTGCAGAATTCAACTCACGGGCTTGAAGTATAAAAGGACATGATCAACCAAGAATTCTCCTATTAAGTGCGGTCTACTACATAGATCAAACGATACCATAATGTTCTATCATATCTCCATCAAACTCAGAAGTGAAACAGGTTTCAAATAAGTTATTGCCACATGTCTAAAGCAAAATTATAGTTTTCACAAAGAACATGAAGTGATCCCATGTTAAACAAGGGAGAAAATTTGGAACAGTGAAACTTACCTCCTTGATTTTCCAGCATAACAGTGAACCAAAACATGTCCACCCTTTTTTTTGGCTTCGTCAATAAATTCAAAACACTCGTTGAAGTATTGTTTTAAGTTGGTATCCTCTTTGTCAGCAACTTCCTCAATTTTCCAACAAAAGCGCAACTTTAGTAATGGATACAATACAGTACTACATGCCTAAATTACTTGAGACAATACATCACAAACTCAGATGATAATTAGAATATAATCAACATAATCATAACCAACCTTAATTACAAGCAACAAGGATCTCAAATACGGATCGGTCTCAATTAGTAGAACACAATACTACTACGCGAGTCAGTTAAAAGGAAATTGATATTCTGAGATGATATAGCTCTATATCTATATTATAAATCTAACTGGTTCTACAAAATACAATTTCTAAGATAACAGCAAATATTAGTAAACAACCTCTCTCCTGTCAGAAGTGTCAAGTCTTCCAAGAATCTCAACCCATGGTAAACTGTTAAAGATCAAAGCGCAAACGTTCAAAAAAGCAAACAAACAATTCTCTAAAACACCAAGGTTGTCAAAATCTAGATCTAGATCTTACAAGTTTACGATTTCGCAGTCTCACTCACCCATGATGGTCCAGATCTCACGTAGAATCGTGTGTTGTAGTCAAATTGTAAAAAATCGTAAAACCATTGATTTTGTGAGATCTTGGCCATTTTCGGCCACAATCAGACATTTTCCGGCCACCACCATTACAAACCTAGAAGGATGACAAGATGCAAAGGCGCAACAATTACTATTCGCCGGCGGTCATTTTTCCACAAATATACCTGTCTACCAAAATATCATGTAAAAATACTTCAAATGTATAGTATATTTTTTCGTTTTAGTAGTATCTTACAATTTTTGTTACGTTTTTATGTTTTAGGATCTTGCTACCCCATCTCGATCTTACAAAGTTAATTGGGTAAAATATTCTGATCTTTGTTATGATATTATGTTTTACGATCTTACTATCCCCTCAAGATGTCATGCAAGATCCCAATCTAATAGAAGATCCTGATCTTGACAACCTTGTAAAGCACACAATGGCCATGGGAGCGGGGTTGGTATTGACTTGATCTCCACCAGATCCACCTCCCTAAACCCACCCCATCCTCGCCAAAATGAAAAATGGCTACCCAAACCTGTCCTAATCGGGGTTCTGGAAGACTCATCCTACCTGACTTCCTTCTTTTTACCCTACTCTAACATTATTCCTTTAAACTAACCTCATTCAATACAACGCAACTCAAATAATCCATAAACATGAAAATAAATAATTAAGAACTTCGACAAAGTAAGAAAAAGTTAACAACCAAATCATCTTTCTAATACAAATACATAAGCTCAGCCTGATATATTTTGACAAAAACAGAGAATTCACTTGCATTACTTAGATATTCTCAAAATTAAAACATCCTCAAAACCAAAATCAAAATCCATAAAACAGCATCAACATCAAAATCACTTCACTGATCATCATCACAATCTTACCATCTATAACTTTATAAACAAAATCTCCAGGATGAGCAGGTGCAAGTTTCCCAGCCACAGTCAAAATATGTGTAACATTAACGTTCTTCAAAGCAACCTTGTTCCCCGCAGAACCAATCGAACCCAAAAAAAGACCCTAAAAAAAATTAAAATCCATCCTTTCTTACAATCTCCATAAGAATAATCATGATAATGAACAAAATGCAATTAATCAAATTGAATCATGAACTAACTACCTCATCAATTTCGCATGGAATATTATCCTCTTTTAGGGATTTATTCAAAAGCACAACCTTCAAAATTACTGCTATTTGTTTCTTCATCGATTCATCGAACTTGTTCATAGCTTCTGACGTTGCCGCCATTTTCTGATTCGCTCCCTTTCAAACAAAAATCGAATTCACACGAATTAAATAGTAATTTCAGTGGTGAAAATCGATTATGCGATATAATCGATTGTGAGGAAGATAATCGAATTCTCAGGAATGTAAATAGTGACGCAACGTGAAAGAAAGGATTCGGAGGTTTTTGTGTAGAAAGAGTGATTGGAACAGAGTGTGAGAATGCGATGTAAAGGTGATTTGGTGATCGCCGAAAAGGAGAAGAACTCACCAACAAAATCAAAATTGCGAATTTTGTTTTCTTGTTACTAAAATAATTTGATGGAACTACTTTCCCTTATTGGCTATTTATTTTTATTTTTTAATTAGAAAAAGCTTTAATTAATTTTGATTTAACAACACAATTTTATATTGATTTAAATTTAGATAAATTAATATTAATATAAGATTATGTATATATTCACTTGGTGCTATAGGGACATGCCAGGGTTGGATATAGACATCGTGGTGCACAAACTACCTCTCAAAGAAAGGTGTTCTCCAGTCAGACAAAAACTCAGAACTCGTCCAGATATATCCAGCAAAATCAGAGAAGAGGTTTTCAAACAATTTGACGCAGGGTTCCTTACAGTGGTAGATTATCCACCCTGGTGTTGGCTGAAGATTTTGATAACACAGTTCGAAACGAAGTAAGTTGGATGTTTCGTTGGAATAAAGCAAGATGTTATGGTTCGGAATGGTAGAAGCAGTTCTTCGAACGAACATGTCAAAGCTCGGAGCTTCGAGTGACAGTTGTGAAGATATATTTAAAAGAAGCCTCGAAGTGGTAATGAGACTGTGTTTAAGAAATGAGTTCGAAGCGAAGAGTGCCAAAACATTTGAAATTCAAACGCAAGCGGGATGTTCGAAATTTAAAAATATATGCGCTGGAGCGTTCGAAGACGCGTGGAAGCTAGAGAGAAGCAGTGCTCTGCATGTTCTGAACGTGGCAGAATCTTATAGGCAAGACCGTTATGGTCGAAGTAGTATAAATAGAAGTCTTAGCGTTAGGATTTCGTGTGTCATATCTATTGTACAAAATTCAGTAAACATTCAAAATACCACATGGCTAGGGAAACGAATGCTCGAACAATGTACGTATGATAACACCAAATATTTATGATTCAGTAAAAATCTTTATTATTTTCAGTTTATCTTCTATCTTCATGTCAATGTCATTCAAATACCTTTTCATTCAAAGTCATTTATTGATTTCTTGCATTTAAACGCTCTTTCTTCCATTTCGAATCCTTTACATTTCAGAAACTCTTTTACATTTCATGCTTTTACATTCATGTTCTTTACATTAAAGTCTTTTCATTCAAAGTCATTTATTGATTTCTTGCATTTAAACGCTCTTTCTTCCATTTCGAATCCTTTACATTTCAGAAACTCTTTTACATTTCATACTTTTATATTCATGTTTTTTACATTAAAATCTTCATATTTCAAAGTTATTTACTTGTTTCTTGCATTTTAACATTTCTTTGCAATCGAATCTTTATTTATGCAATTCAGTTTTGTATGTCTTTACCTGATCATGTCATTAGATCCTTTTAATATGGTAATCGAAGTGAGTTGAGCGCCTACGCAACATTCCCAATACAAATCCTAACTATGAATATCAGTTCTACAATTAGAGTTATCCAAACGACCAATACTCCATAGGATCAATCTAGTCGATCCTGCACGTTACCAGAGAGATTAAATAACAGTCATTAAGATTATTTGATAGTTTGGAGGACTAGCGGTTGTTTACCAGAAATCACTGTAAACAAATTGGCACGCCCAGTGGGACCGTCATTGGTCGTTACGAAATTTAGAACAAAGTAAAGATTGTTGGGACATAACCATTGTAAAAGTACTTTCTGAGTGATAAGTTCATTGTTATATGAACCTTAGAAGTGGTAGAATAACCAATAGCAATCAACCCTTACCCAGAAGAAAATGTAATAGCAAGATGTCTAATCCAAACAATCAAAAAGGGGAACAAAATATCCCACATGCAACAGGCACTAATATGTCCGCTTCGACGGGAACATCTAATGCGACCCCTTCGAACGCACAGTCTGTTGTATCTTCTACCAGTAGTGTAGCCACGAATGGAACAAGTGGCATGTCGACTAACAGTTTTATCCTAGGCAATACAGGAACCATTGGTTATCCTGGGGGATTCGTCCCACCATCAGGGACACAAACCCATTTCGCCACCCCACTAACTAGACCACCCAGTTTCGATGGTAACAGACACAGAAATTCCTCTTATGGGATGCCAACATCTTTTATGGCGGGTCTGCACACTTCGACATCGAATACGTCACCACAATTAGGGTCTGGATCTGGGACTAATCAATTTATGACAAATAACCAGGGGTCAGTGGGTTATAGTGCAATGCCTATCTTAACCACAGAAAATCAGTTGGCCTTTAGGCAATTAATGGATGACAGTAACCATAATATGATAGGAGTGTTAGCGCAAACTATGCAAGAGATCTTTGCCCCAATAGTACAAAATGTAACTGTGACAAACAGAGAAAACGCAGATAACATGAGTCGAATAGCAGATTTTTTTGCTCCCCCAGAGAGGCGTAGGCAGAATCAGGCGGGAGTTCGAGCAAACGTACCTATCATAGAACAAGTTGCTGATGACCCACCCTATAGACCAGCCAGAGAGGGGGTTAATTTGGGGGCAAGGGCACAAAGGTTAGAAGCCCTAAGGATTCAAGGCCCACAATGGGAAACTATAGAACCAGGGGCAAGGATTGAAAGGTTAGAAGTCCCAGAGTTTCGAGAAGAACAACCTAGAGGAGTTGTCATGGTGGGTCGAAATCAAGATGCTGATGCAGTCGTTCACAGAATTCAAAACGATAACATCTTGGCAGAAAATAATTTAACCACCATGATAGAGAGAATCATGGCCCAAAATGGCCTCAATACAGGAATTAGAAGGCCAAATTATGCCTCTCCTATATTAGATTACATAATGCATACTGATTTACCAAGGGGATATAAAGTCCCTAAGTTTACAAAGTTTGCTGGAGATACCAATGAATCAACAGTCGAACACATAGCCAGGTATCTAACTGAAGCAGGAGATATAGCAAATAATGAAGACCTTAGGATCAAATATTTCCCAAGTTCCCTAACTAAGAACGCTTTCACATGGTTCACCACTTTGCCTCCTGGGTCCATAGATACTTGGGCTCTGTTGGAGAGATTATTCCATGAACAGTTCTACATGGGACAATCTAAAATAAGTCTGAAGGAACTAGCCAGTGTCAAGAGGAAGTTTACTGAACCCATAGATGATTATCTGAATAGGTTCAGACTCTTGAAATCTAGATGCTTTACAGTAGTTCCTGAACATGAGTTAGTCGAAATGGCTGCTGGCGGCCTGGATTACTCTATTCGAAAGAAATTAGATACACAATACTTGAGGGACATGGCTCAATTAGCCGATAGGGTTCGACAAGTCGAAAGGCTAAAGGCCGAAAAGGCCAGAGTTTTTAAAAATAACAAGAAAGAAAGGGTCTCCTATGTTGGAGCTGAGGAAGCAGAAGATTACCCTGAATTCGAAGAGGTTGAAATTGATCTCGCTGAATTGAAACAGGCCCCACCTTACTCTTGCAAATTATTAGTTCCCACAAAAGGGAAAGAAATTGTTGAAAATGAGAAAAGTGACAAATTCCCAAAGAAGGTTTATACCTTCGATGTAACTAAGTGTGACGATATTTTTGATTTGCTTGTCAAAGATGGCCAACTCATTGTGCCATCAAATGTCAAAATACCTCCTTTAGATCAAAGGAAGAAAAGAGAATTTTGTAAGTATCATAGTTTCCTAGGCCACAAAACCTCACAGTGTTTTCTTTTCAGGGATCTAATTCAAAATGCAATTAAGGATGGCAGACTGAAATTCACTGACAAACCAAAAATGAAAGTAGATGAAGATCCTTTGGATGTCGCAGACACCAATTACTCCGAGCCTGTATGCATTGGAGAAATCAATATGGTGGAAGCAGATCAAGATGACACTCCATTAGGAGAGAAAGGCACTGAGAATGAAAACTGGGTGTTAGTCGAAGTCAACAAGGGGGTCACTGAGGACGTCCACAAGCAACCAGAGGCTTCGATCGAAGCAGTACCTTTGGTTGTTTCAAAAGAGATCCAGGCTACTGAAGGCCAGGAGAACCAAAAGCAAGAATTGACACAGGTTACTGAAGACCTGAGGCTAAATTTGGAGAAAGTCCAGATCACAAAGCCACCCTCCCCTCAGAAAGAAATGTGGGATACTTTAGGAGAGCCCAGTGGAAAGTTTGACTACTTGGTGAAGTATTCTGCCCCAGAAAGTTCAAAAATCCAAATCGAAGATGTAAAACCTACAGGATGGGGAGATGATGACATAAAGGGCGAGGATGTAGATGTCAACATGGTGGATATGGAGAGACCTCGTTCTGAAATGGAGGAGATGGAGAGATACTTAGAAAAAGAGAAATACAAAATGGAGGATAATTATGCTGGGGATGCCAGTCTTAAAGATTACCTCATGTTGTGCCACAAAGGAGATGCGGAAATGATACTATGCCCTAGATGCAGCATCATCTGCAACCAGATAATTGCTGCAAACTTCGAGAGGAAACAAAGGGCACGAACTGGCATCAACTGGCGCCAGGATAACCAGTTATTCAGGTGTTACCCTAAAGCTGGAGAAAGTTTGTTGGAGTTTTTGGTTCGCTGTTACAAAGGGGCAACCAAATGCCTAGTATGCCCAAGGTGTTCTACAGTGTACGATCAAAGTATGGCCAGAGCCTTCGAAACAATCCCTTTCGCCCCATGCTGGAATCACAAAGAGACTGGGCAGATGAGCCAACGTTTCGAGAGCAAGTACACTCAATGAAGGCCTGATAGTCCTCATCCCAAAGGCGCTCGAAGGGTGACGTTCAAAATTCCTGCTGAAATACCAACAGGCAAATGGCTGCAAGTCAGAA